TCGAGTTTTTCATTTGCATTTTTTTATTTTGCACGATAGTAAATACAGAGAATGGCGGCGTTGGCGGACAGATATGGTGCACGCGTTCCTTGTTATCTCATAACAGCTTTTGCTGTAAAACATACCGGTTGTGACCAAAGAACATTTTTATAACTGTACACCTTTTGACAAACATTTTTTATGCGTGAGTGGTCAATGTCATGGGTGGTTTGCGGTAAGAATAAATGATTCCACTGCTTCGCCCACTCATAATCATTAGGTTCATGAATATGCCATGATTTCCCGCAGATGGCGTAAGTGTGACATCGCGCTTTGAGAGTTCAGCGTTCAAAATAATGGGAACGACCAATGTGTGATTTATCGCTCTATGGACGCGACGACACTCCGCGAAACCAGGTACACTACCAAGCAAGACAGATGCACCGTTTGTTGTGGAAACATAAAAATTCGCATTTGAAACGTTGGTGTTAAAGTGTCGCATGGTCTACTTATGGGCTTCGGATTAAGTTGGGATGCACCGCATCGGCTATGGGCTGTTGTTCACATACTGTCTCGTGTGTCAGATGCCTAATTTCACTTCGGACGATATTTACCGCATACGCTCTTCATGAATTCAGCGGTACCTGCAACATACGTATCACTTCCGTAATTGGTGTTCTGAGGTCAAACAGTTTTTCAAAGGTGCGCCGAAAGCTTCCGTAAGAAGTATGAACAGATAGAAGCCTTGTTTAAATATTTTATGGCTGATTGAGTTGTGCCAGCGTCCTTTTTATAACTCCTGCTACCTACTCGAATTTGGCTACCGTGCGCGTTATTATCTGAATGATTAAAACGTAAAGCATAACTTACCATTAGGCAGAGAAGTTCAGCATCCTAACTTTACTCATTTTAGTATCAGTACGCCTGAAAATGATTTTCGTACTCTTCATATTTATCCTGAGTTTCTTACATCAAAGTTAACAAAGAATTCAAGAATATAATTCAATTTATTTGCTACCTGTGCTGATGCAATTTGCCATTGTTGCCGCAAGTTTCCCCAGTTCGCCATATAGGCTTCACACTTCTCAAGTTATGATGTTTCAAGTTATTCAAGATAAAGTACGTGATACGTAACTTCTGGCTGTCATCTTGTTTGTGAAAGCTTTTATTTGTTTTCAACGATGCTCATTCATGTACATGTTCAAGCAAATCAAGTAATAGTATTAGCAGCTTGCAAATTTGACCAGTAAAGTTAGCTTGAGTTTCTATATCCTGGCTTCTCATGATAGTGGTATTTCTTTGCAAGACTCTTCCTTGCGTAATGCAAAAAAGTGTGGACTTCAAAAGCATACTGTGAACGCAACGGGCTGCTCTCGAAGAAAATGGTTATTTAGAAACAATTTTCAGAATGAATAATAATTTTTTTTCTTTTACAACGACACAATCATCTTTGAAGTCGAAGTATCCACGCAGTTATAATATTGTCATGCAAAGTAAGAGGAATAATACAAACTCAAACCAACGTAATGTGCTTCTTCTTAAAGTCGGAACCAATTTATAGTAGATTTAACATTGCATTTTAGGCACTTAACAATGGAACTCATTACCATCAGTTATCAAATTATCTTTGTTCTCATTATTAAAAAAGAACTGATGATCATTTTAGTAACACTCAGTGACACGCATAGCACGCATTACGTTTGTTTGTCCCCTATAGAAAATTTCTTAATGTACTATTTTTATGTGTTTGAATTTTGCTTGTGTATGAACTTTGATTATGTTTGATGCTTCTTCACATTGCTAGTTCCGCATGTCATTTAGCCTTGTTTGAATTGATGTTTACTTTATTAAATTTTTCTTCTCCAATCTTTTTTCAATTGTGATTAGCATAAAGTTTATAAATAATTTCCCTTTTTCTATTTACGCACCTCACACTGTATAGTTACATAGCTCACTGTTTGCCGAGATTATTGTAAGCCCCATTCATTTTTTGTCAGAAGGTCCCCCCGACAGTTTGTAAGCATTGAATGTTGTTCATAACAAGACAATTGCTACTGCTAGTGTTTAGGTAAGTTCCGTAACAACAACCACCTTTTTGAGCTTGGCTGTATTGCTTGCTTTTGTTTGATAGAATTTTCATGATGTACCTGTTTCAGCCTGGCTCCCCCTTCAGTCCCGATGAAAGCGGTTATACTTCATCTTTGGCAAGTATCACATGCTGATTCAGGCGATCTCCTTTGATGCTGCTTTCTAAACCTGTATTGCCTATACTGCACAGATCACGTCAACATATACGAGCAAACAAAGATGCAGTTACCAATGCAATATTTGTTAATAGTGGGACTTTCTTGGAGTTCATTCTTCCAAACCAAGATATGACGATACGATATGCTGTAGCGGAGCTCTGCGGCAAGTTTGTTGAAGTGGTGTTCTTTAATGTGCACCGATATCTTAGTACACTGGCTTCATGCATTTTCAACGTCTTTCAAAAGCCAGTGCCAAAGCGAGGAATTGATAACGCAAACGGCGAGGCAGCAGAGCAGCAGCGTAACGACTGGACCAACGAGGAGTGGGAAGTATGATTTGTAGCTTCACGTCAGTTACGTGTAACTGCAATCCTAAAATGTCAATAAAACAGCAGGCAACAAGCATAGCGGAACTCATTGCAGAAACTCTATCAAAAGGTCCCAATACGGAAAGAAAAGCTGATGGTAGACGACCAGAGTAGTTTCTGAATGATGCGCACAAACACCAAAATGCCGCCAGGTGTGTAACCATATAAACATTCTTTTGAATCTCTTTGGCAGTAGGGTCGTTTCTGCTTGACTGTACAGCAGCTTGTTTATTATTTAAATTAGCAGTGGTATTTCTGACCTAGTTTGACGCACAGTGTATAATATAAAAACACCATTTCTCACTCTTTAGCTCAGAACATGGGTGCTACAAATAAAAAATATAAGTGGTGGATTACGACAAACTAATACCACTTCCACATCACATGTGTGAAACCATTAAATAAAATCCACCACGCAAAACAATCCAGACAGAACTCATGCAAATATTTATAATCTAAGGGCCATACAAGGCGATCGGGAAAATCGAAATAGACGGTCCGGAAAACCCACAAAATGCCACTGCATATTGACCACCTAATTATGGTCTTTAGCGCAAAACGATTACAGAAAGTAAAAAAGAAGAAATGTAGGCGTGCACTCCCAAGTGAATTATTGAAAAAAATGTACATAAGCTGTATGTCAGGTTTTCGCTAATGTGCAATCAACTGAATGTTCAGTGCCATTAAATATGTTTGCTCACATTACACGTAAATAACAGACCATAGTCACGTATGTAGTTTTCTGGTAGATCTAACCTTCCGAGGGATTGTGCCGAGAGAGCCACACCTTTCTGACTACATTTTTTATATGTTGCCTAAACTAAGCAGGCAAGATTCATAATGTCGATGACCTACATCTGTGAAGATTGACGCACTGAACTTTTTTCAGTCTACACCTTCAATAAGCCCCGGAATTTCCAGGCCGGAACCAAGCATAGTAAGTTTTTTTTGCTAATATTCGGCAACACACACGACTACTGTAAAAAATCGTATATAGGTGAACAATCCGCGTCCAATGAAACTTCAACAGTGGCAAACCTTCGAGATAGTATAGTGCACGCCGTCCAGTTATCCCCATTGAGTGGCGCATGCACTCTGTTCGGCAACTCTGCGCATTTATGCGTGCCTACCTATGATGATGAGTGAATGACGGGCACTATACTATTGGGAAGGCCTGCCGCTGTTCGGATTTCATCTGATGCTGATAATACATGTGTTCGTGTGTATATGTGAGTCAACACTGTAGCGGTATACGCTTTTTTTCAGTCGCCGCCGCCACTTAGCCCCGCAAGTCCCGTGGCTGGCCCAAGTGGAGTAAGACTTTCTTTACTGATTTTCATCACAAACCAAACCACGATTCTAAAATAAATAGTGATTATGAGGCCATGTACACGTGTATCATAGTCAAGACTGGCGTGTCACACTTCTTTTCAGTATGTCCCGCAATTAAGCCCTCTTAAATCCAGTACCCATTCTAGAGGGGTAAGTCTTTTGTACATGATGACCAACAAAATGAAACTCTAAGGCTCAATTAAACCTGCAGTGTTGATTCTATTCTTGCACGCATATCTCAGCAAATATGCCACGCTGTGCTCTTTTTCAGTCTCTGCCCCCATTAAGCCGCAAAAGTCCCACCTCTGGCTCAAGTGTTGTAAGTCATGAAATTCTGATGGTCATAGAAACTACACCACTGCTAAAATCGGCATGCAGTGGTGAATACGTTCATGTGTGTGCATCTGGTTCACGATTTCTATGCTATGTCTTTTTTTCAGTCACTGCCACCACTGAGCCCAATGACGTCGGTAAGTTTTTCGCTCAAGGTTTCGTGAGTCTTTTGCTCAATATGGCGAGTGAAACAAATTAATTCCGTTGAAATACGCCCACAGTAACGCGTGCGTGCTGGTTTCAATACCTAAGTAACTATTATTGTGCCATATTTCTTGCAGTCACCGTCTACACAAAGCCCCATAAGCCCTATTGCTGGTTCAAATAGCGTAAGTATTTTATTCAGAACGAGCAGACAAACACGGCGAAAGTGCCAGAATAAACGTTTATAGTGAATATCTGCATGTGCGCATATCTGAGAAAACATGACAACGCTGTGTTTTCTTTTTCAGTCTCCGTTATTGCGCGCCCAAACTCGCATATATGATTCAAGTGATGTAAGTCTATAATTCATCATGGCCACCACAACCAAATACAGCTGCTAAAATAAGCATACAGTGGAGATTAGGCAATGTGCATTTATCTAGGGCACGATTGACTTACTGTCTTTTTTTATACAGGCTATACCACCATTTAGCCCCGTCAGCTCCATTAACACTACTGCTAAAATCGGCATGCAGTGGTGAATACGTGAATGTGTGTGCATCTGGTTCACAATTTCTATGCTATGTCTTTTTTTCAGTCGCTGCCACCATTGAGCCCAATGACTTCGGTAAGTATTTCGCTCAAGGTCTCGTGAGCCTTTCGCTCAATATGACGAGTGAAACAAATTACTACCGTTGAAATACGCCCACAGTAACGCGTGCGTGCTGGTTTCAATATCTAAGTAACTATTATTGTGCCATATTTCTTGCAGTCACCGTCTACACAAAGCCCCATAAGCCCTGTTGCTGGTTCAAATAGCGTAAGTATTTTATTCAGAACGACAAGACAAACACGGCAATAGTGCCACAACAAACGTACATAGTGAATATCTGCATGCGCGCATATCTCAGAAAACATGACCGTGCTGTGTTTTTTTTTCAGTCTCCGTTATTGCGCACCCGAAATCGCTTATATGGTTCAAGTGATGTAAGTATATAATTCATCATGGCCACCAAAACCAAATACAGCTGCTAAAATAAGCATACAGTGGAGATTAGGCAATGTGCATTTATCTAGGGCACGATTGACTTACTGTCTTTTTTTATACAGGCTATACCACCATTTAGCCCCGTCAGCTCCATTACTGGTTCAAGTGGGGTGAGTCTTTTGTTCAAGATGACGAGCGGAACAAATCACTATAACTGAAATCAGCACACTGCAAAGATTGTTTGCATGAGGCTATATCTTAGTCAATATTTTTTCTCACGATTTTTATAGTCAACCTCACCATTCAGTCCCGTAAGTACCGTTGCTAGTACTCTAATGGTAAGTAGGCATCTTTCATATTCGTATGTAGTTTCGGGACGTTAAAACTTACATATCAAGTAGAGTAAGTATCTAATTGACTATGGCAAGCGAAACAAGATAGAGTACTATCTAGCCAAAAGTGACACAAGCATGTCGTACATTGGTGTAATCTTGCCTTGTTTTGTTTAGGCTTGTCAACAATAGTATTAAATGCAAAGCATTTTTAGCAAACTTCGGCGACTTTGAGCGCACCTATCTATCTATCTATCTATCTATCTATCTATCTATCTATCTATCTATCTATCTATCTATATATCTATCTATTCTTCAGGGTCTCAATAATGTTCTTTGTTTATCTGTCTATCCTAAGGCAAGTTAAAGTATGTGTGGTGTTAGAAAGACTTGCCGCTCGACCTGCATCTCAGATAAGGTCAAAAACTTTGCGTATGTAGTTCACCTTGCATGTAAATTGCACACAAATGAAGGGGTAAGAACATTCCTAATAACAATGTGTTGTTTAGTATATGTGACAAAGTACGTGCTGTTACGCCTGGGAGTCCACACCAAACATCAATATCTCTGCAAAGGCAATCTGTGTCAAGGCCAGCGATCAAGCCCGCCTGACGCGATCAACTCAACGACGTCATCAAGCAGCGGCACCGGTCTGTCTTACGCAACGCACAGCGAGCCCCCTAGCCCACGAGCCCGATGAAGCAATCGGCGCCTTCCAGTCTGGCGAGTCTTACGCAATGCGTTGCGACGCCACTCGTCCTTAAGCGCAACCACGCGCAGCGTCTCCGGATTTGATGGCCATGAAGCAGCCCCGCGGCGGGCCCCTTTGGATAATTTAGACATCACGGCCCACGGCGCTTCTGGTTGGACGTTGGTGACAAAAAAAGGTCCTGGCGGTGGCTATAAAAAAAACAAGCGGCGTGTCGCCATCAGTTGACCTTAACGTCAGAGAGAGCCGACGTATGCGTGCGAGAGAAGACATCTCGGCTCTTCAATTTCCAAAGCTGTCGGTTTCAGTTCCGAATATGTAAGGTCTCTATTTCTATGCTGTACATAAACCTTGCCTTAGCTCACTGTCGTCTCGTCGCTGTTTATCAGCTCTGCGCAAAAGCAATCGCAAGCTGAGTAACACACGCTACCAAATGGCTGGTGACCTTGGCGGCGGAGTTCGGAGCAGTGGCGCCTTCAGGACCGTGTTGGCGTCGTGCCTTCGAAACAGTGCACAAAGGATCACAGAAAATCAACAAAGAGAGATATACTCCACCAAAATTTTGATTCGCGCACTCAACCCAAGACAAAATGCGTTCTGCTAGGGCGTAAAAAGGTGCAACTGTTGCTTTCTCTATGTGCAGCAAAAAGTTTGTTTCTATCAAAACAAGAAAGCCGACCAAGAGTCACAAGATTTTCAGATGGACGCAACGGGTGGGCCGCAGGGCTCCGTATATCACCATTACTTGTTAATTTAGTGTTTTGGGGGCTACCAGAAAAATTATGGAAATACCCGGACTGTTTCACAGTATATACGTGGATGACAACACCCTCTGGGTTCCCGGAGGAGGTTCTGACCGTCACGTCGAGAGAAGGCTACAGGCGGGAGTATTAGTACTATAGGCGGAAGTTCAGGAGTATTTACAAGGAACGGGCCTCGAGTGCTCAGCAACCAAGTCAGAACTTTTAATCTACAATCCCACAAACAGAGGCAGCAAAACGCCACGTAACGAGGAAAGGGAATCCTTCAAAATACGCGTTCTGTTGGCATACGGCACTGCCATACCACACGTAGACAGATTTCGAACTCTGGGTTTGCACAAACAGGCAAATGGCCGTAATGGTGAGACTGTATGCCGACTCCGTCGTTCAGTAGACGACGCGATCAGACTTTTGCGTCGTATCACGAATAGACGCAACGGTCTGTGCGAACACTGTGCGATCCATCTCGTGCAAGCCTACGCGATGAGCCGAGTAACATACGTTGCCCCTTACCTTACCTCAAGTGGATAGGCTCAGAAAAAAAACAAAATCAACTGCATGATACGAAAGGCTTTTAAAAGAGCTATTGGCCTCCCGATCAGCGCGAGCAGCGATATATTTACAAAGCACGTTCTTGACAACACACTAGACGAGTTAACTGAGGCCCATGACGTTGCGCAATACGAACGCTTAACTAAATCAAAGACGGGTCGACATATCTTTAAGTCGTTGGGCAGCAGATATCACGTTCATCAAGAAGAAAAGAGGGAGGTTCCTGCCTCATCAGTTCGCGAGCGCTTGATCATTCCACCAATTCCAAGGAATATGCATCCGACGCACCACATCCGACGGCGCAACGAGCGTGCTAGACTGTTTCAAAGGAAGTTTGGTGACCGTACGGACGTGGTATACGTAGACGCCGCGAGATATAGAGAAGTAAAAAGAGCTTACGCAACTGTGGTCGTTGACCATCAGGTAAAATGCCTTTCGAGCGCCACGGTGACGACGGGACACACGGAGGTGGCCGAAGAAGCCGCGATAGCCTTAGCACTCGCCGCAGCACTGCATGCAGAGATTGTGATAAGCGACTCACAGGTGGCAGTCCGTAGTCTCGCGTGCCACCATGTCTCGCGGGAAGCGGCGTACATTCTTTAAATGTGCAGAGATGGCCACTCGACGTCGCGCTCACAACCCCAAACTCCAATGGTTTTTATCCTATGTACCCCGGCACACACCAGCATTCCGCTCGCGGGGAACGAGGTGGCCAACGCCGCTGCTCAAGGTCTCACTCACCGAGCCACGGCCCACTACGTGGCCACCGCCTCTGACTCCGAGAGCGGGGCGATGCATCTGCTGGATGAAGACACTTTGATAGGCACGCAGCAAGTACATTTAGAATGGTCATGGGGTGATCGTCTTACAACGTTCCGTGCCATCACCTAAAAATATAGGCTCGAAAGGCGTAGGTTCTTGCCACCGCATAAGAAACTAAACAGGCGCGATGCCGTGAGCGTTTGCTAACTCCATAACCATTCCTACCCTGTTGGAAATTGTTTGAACCTCCCGCGCGAATAGCGCGCGCACCAAGAGACGGAGAACGACGAGGAAGAGGAAGAGACCAGCCGAAATAGAACACGCTCTTTTACCATGGATGCTGGCGTTTGCGTCTCCTTCATTTGGTGCCTTTAAACTCCGAAGCGTGGTTTTCCCACATCGATTTTGGTGCCGACGACCCGGGAATCAAGCCTACAACGACCCGAGCCTTTCATTCCTGGTGTGGGTGAGCTGCGCTGCGAGCTAGACCGACATGGAGCGAGCGAAGAGCAAGCGGGCCTCGCGGCGATCGATGAACACGAGAATCATCAACGAGGTCAACCAGGTGCTCCAGTCCAATGAGTTCGAGCTTTCTGGACTTCGAATGCTGCACGGCCGCCTACGCGCCAGCAACGTGGAACTTAAAGCCTTGAACAACGAGGTTGAAACCCTGATCACTGACGACCTGGCGGCAGACGACTATGAGGTGGTCATGCAATACGATGACGCCGCTAACAGTACTCTGGCGTTGCTCGAGCACCACATTGAAGTTCTGAAGACTTCTGCTACGCCGGCGTCGTCTACAACTCCAGCCATGGGCGCAAGGACCTGTGAGGGTGCACCGAGCGAGCATGAACGACTTCCACAACGTGAGTTCGGCGCACGACTTCCCAAGCTGGAGCTTCTTCGTTTCGATGGAAACGTGATCAAGTGGCAACCCTTTTGGGATATGTTCCTGCACTCCGTGCACGAGAACCCAAGGCTGTCCAACACAGACCGGTTTCACTACTTGGCCTCACTTCTAGATGGACCTGCAGCTCAGGCCGTCGCCGGTATTCAGGTGACAGATTCTTGTTACGATGACGCGCTGGAAATTTTGAAACGTCGGTTTGGAAACAAGAAAGTCATTGAGCAGAAGTACTTAGGAAATTTGCGCACGCTCAAACCAGTGAAATTAGCGAGTGATGTCACTGCTCTGCGCAAGCTTTTCGACACAGTTCAACTAAACAGGAGGGGACTGCGTAGTCTTGGAATCACGGAGTCATCCTACGCGGCTATGCTGAATGAAGTTCTGCTCAAAGTCATACCAGCTGACATTGTCGTAGAATACTTCAAAAAAGAAAGTATGGAGAACACGACGGAAACGAGCCAGGCTTCATCTGATCAGGAACTTGAGCAGCTGATGAAATTTCTCCGCATCGAAGTTGAATGTCGAGAAAAGAGTTCTTTAGTGAACAATTTGCCAACGACATCGAACAACAGCGTACCTGTATTAAATAGATCATTCAAGAAGCAGTCCGCGACTCCTACAGCATCCGTTCTTCAAAACAAGACACTATCTTCCCCCTCGTCCTGTTTTTTCTGCGCTGCTACCGATCACAAGACAGAGGACTGCACGAGTGACATGACTCTGGCCGAGAAGCGCAACAAACTTGTAACAGACGGTCGATGCTTCCGGTGCACGTCAAAAGGACATCTGGTCCGCAATTGCCGGCGGAGAGTGCACTGCCAAGCATGCAAGCGCAGACACGCCTCCTCGATGTGCAATGCTAGTAGTTCTGAAACACCATCAGTGACTAATGCTCAGAAGAAACCGAATGCTACGGTGCAAGTTTCCACTCAGAGAGCTTCAGTTCCCCGACTCAT